ATGCTGAGTTCTGCAACTTTATTCAACTGCGCCCAAGTAAACAAGAAAAATATCTTATTGCTGATTTCATAAATAAGACTGAAATTAATATTCTTATTTTACTCTCTAGTATATTTAACGTACTATTTTGATTATTTCTGTCGCGCTGCAGCAAGTGTACCTCTCTCTCTCTGTGCACACTGCTGTGCATAAACAGTCGTCTCTGAAAGGCGTGCTGTAATCCCCTCCCTTCTTTGCTGTTAACCTCGTATAACGATCCTGAAGTGAAATAGGAGCAGGGAAAATAAAGGTTTGGGAAGACTCCTCCAGGACCAACAAGATGGAAAATAATTAGCCGTCGAGTGTAGACATCCATTACGTGGGTTGTTTTCTGAAAGACACACCAGCCATCCGCCCTAAATAGGATCTCATGTGTCTCTGCCAGGATGTACCAGTTTACGAGAGCTGGGTCCAGGTACATGAAGAGTCATCAAAATATCTGGAAGGTCTCTACATAAAGAGATTAAGACCTTATAAGATTAGAGTTTATGAAGCCATCATTTTACAGACAGAAAAACAATTTTGATAATGTAATATTCATTTGAGTCTAAACTGATATAGTTTCAGAATTGAAAGTATAAGAATTCTCTGCTTTTCTTCACCAAAGATAGCAAAACCAAATACTGTCGACAACGCAAGCTATTTCATGATATCACTTTTGTGATTTAGGTTTTTTTAATGTATGTAATTTCACATAAAAACCAATGAATCTGAAATGAAAAAACGAAAATGAAAATGAAGATTTGCAGAACAGTAACTGGTGATCAGCATGCTGCTGTTTATAGACGCACAGCCTGCTGTGTGTGATGGACTGTTTATAGCTGTTTGTACAGAACATGAGGCTTTGCTGGATTTATGTCTCTATAAGCAGACTGACAGCATCTTCTTTATATCTGTCTGCATTGACATGATTCTTTGTTCTTCTAAATGATCACCATGATCATTGGCTACTGTGTTCTGTCTCTGGATATCTCTTTGAACACTAGACTTCTCCATGCTCCTGTTTAAGGAGACCCAGACACCTCATCAGTTTTTTGGCTGTGCAGCCGGGAGTGCTTGGAGAAGACAGTTTGTCTTAAGTGTCCTGTCTGCTGAGAGGACCATAAGAGGCAGGGTGGCATGCAGGAACAGAAACTACACTGAGGGTGGTAGTGTGTAGGCGAGGATGGTGGCACAGTGTGATTCATGTTTGTTTGAAACGCTTCTTGCAACACTGGATGATGGATAAAGTGTATGTTAAGCACAAGAGACATTTTTCATTGTGTTTGTCAGTGTGTTTTATGCCAGTAACCGAAGCATTAGTCTTACTTAAAGTTGTATTTCCAGCAGAAGCATTTTCTGAGATGTAGGACTAAGCCAAGAAAGTGAATATTTTCGGGATGATGGACCAGAAAAAGAGCCTTTAACAGGATAATGTCTTCTGCTGATTGTTTATAAATGCCCCATGGATATGGAGCCCATGTAGTTAAATACACCATACAACATAAGATACACAAACTATTACTTGTGCAAAGATATTTTGCCTTTTTATATTTACTTTGCCAGGTGTTGTTTGGCGGGTTTACTGTAACCCACTAAGCAAGCTAAGGTTAGCTGCTTATATCTTAAAATTTAAAACTAAGAAGTCATACAGAGGTCATAAATGATGTTGTAGGCCTATGATAATATTACTTAGATTTGTATGATACCTGTTAGGTGGGGGTTATTTCTGTAGTAGATGGACAATGATGAAATCGTGAAACAGACTGTGGATCATCTTAGATTTATTCAGCCATGGTCAGACAACAACACACATGGCTGACAAAGTGCAGACCATCGCTGACCAAGATCTCACAATCATTGACAATCATTGGCAAAGTGTTCATCTTCACAGTGTGGCTTATATTCTGCTAGAAGGTGCAGCCCACAAATTCCTGGCTGCCTCGGTTCATCTCTAAAAGGCTAGAAAGAAGACATCACCTTGACTCTTAAATATCAGACATATGCATTTCTTCAGTCTCAGAGTCACATTTCCTTCTCTGCTCACGACAGACACTTGGCTCCAATCCAAATATAACTCTGCTGCTGACGTCTCTAACACATATGTATTACAGCTTCACAAACCTAAAATAAGAATTACCCTAAAATGGTTGACGCAATTTTAAGATATAGCCACAAAATTATCAAGATGAATGACTTCATGAAAATACGCTAGCTTCAGTTAGTGTAACACTATGCTTGCTACTGAATCTCAGCTTCATTCTCAACTTCTGATTCCAAAAGAAATTCCTGTTTTTCAATCAAGATGATTTGTGTTATCAGACAGTGCCAAAATCGTGTTGTACACATTTATGAAGAAATTGCAACAAGTAGGGGGAACATTTACATACTTAATCACAGACTTGAAATTAGCACATAAAAAAACATGCAAAGTAGTGTTAAGTGAATAATAATGGCGGGGGGGCACCGGTAGTCTATCGTAGTTAATGCGTGTGCCCCGTGTACGGAGGCTGTATAGTCCTCCAAGTGGGTGGTCCGGGTTTGAATCTGACCTGTGGCTTCTTTACCGCATGTCATTCTCCACTCTCTCGCTCTTCCTGATGTCTGACTCTGTTCACTGTCCTATCTCTAAAATAAAGGTCCAAAAAGCCCTAAATGATCTAAAAAGTAATAATGATAATAAAGGGGAAAACCTGTCCTCGAACTCAATTATTTGACCTTTTGGTTTTGATTTCAATCATTATAAATATACTGTAGGTGGAGTTAACAGGGGAAACTGACTTGACTGTTTTTCTCAAAAAAAAAAAAAAGTTGCTTAAGGTCAAATTAAGAAATATTTCCTTTGAGTTTTGTGATTGTGTCGCAATCACTATTTAAAAAAAAAAAAAGTGAGCAGGTGCATTGGAAGTAAGCTGCAGCCCCACCTTCTCAAAATGTGCAGATCCGGACTCCGACTGTGTGTGTGTCTGTTTATGTGTGTTTGTGTGTGATTATAATCTATAAGCACTAGATGCATAAAAGCCGGTGAAATCAGTGAAAGGTCAACAGGCTTTGACAACATCGTTGTTGTGAAATTCAAGAAGTCCCACACACCCTCGAATAACGTGACTTCTTCTTTAAAAGTCATGAACATCTGGTTGTGTTTTGTTGCACTCTGGACTGCAACCACTTCTGACACATCAGAGATGACAATGCCGTTCCAGGGTTCTGACGATTTCATGCAACTGAGCTCAACATCTTTTGAGAACATAATGATTGCTGTTGTTTTGAGTTTGCATATACTCAGCCTCTTACTTTCCATTTCTCGGTCTTTCTGTTGGGTGTATCAGTGCATCATTAGCCTATCAGAGCGACCACATCCTTGTTAGCTAAGCCGGTAAATGAGCAAAGAGTAAGATGACTCTTGTCTGGTTTGGCCTGGCTCTGGACAGGTTCTCTCTGTCAGCAGTCACTTTGTCTCCAGCTTATTAGTTTTCAGTCCAGGCCCTAGCAACAGGGAAACATTTACAGCAGTTCACATACTGTGGTACTCAATTAGCACAAGCTGTTGATGAGGTCACAGTTTGTTGGACATTTCATGGAGGAAATGTAGAACTGTTAACAGAGATGAAGAACAAGGTGACAACAAAAGCTCCTGTGTTCCAGCTGATGCTTCTCTCTGTGCGTGATGAAAAGCATCCGCTGCCGTGTGGACCAAATGTCTGCAGCCTGTCATACCTTTATGCTCAAAAAGAGACTGTTTTACGCTCACAGAGACTGTTTTTTTTTGCTGTTTGTTTAAACAGCCTGATGATAACATTTTGTAAAGCATAGCATAACAAGACGGACCACAGTCTCAACCGACTCTGAAACTAAACACTCTGTCACATGTTTTCAGCTTGTTAAAACACCAAAGGGCTGAAAAGTCCATCGTCTTCTGATCTTAGAGCCATGAATCAGGTTTCATTTGGCTCCAACCAGCAGCAAAATGTTTCATCTTGTGTAATGACACTTTTACCAAAACACTGTCTAGTACAGAAGCTTCCTTTTGATTGGTTTAAATACCGGTAAATAATATTTTCTTTTAATTGTAATTTAATATTTCAGTCCGAAAAATGAAAAATGATGTTCCCCATTTAACATAGCTCTATGCAGGGTCTTCAGTTGGCTCACAAACAAGAGTTCAAAAGTCAGCATTTTTGACATTTTTGTAGATTTATGGTTTAAAAATAGTAACTCATTATGAAACAGTCACTGATTAACTCTATTTCAGTAGAGTTTGTTGAGCTGAACTTGTTAATCCACATAACTTTAGTCAGCTACATTAGTCCTGATTTGCATATAACTAGCTAGCACAAAGCACACATGCCCAAAAGACAAAAACACCCTGCTTGTAAAGGGACAACTCCTATTTTTAATGCTAACCTCTCCAAGCCATTGTGTATCTAATAACCAAATACCATTATACTAAGTAACTCACATAGGCAAACTAATGCAAGTCCTGATCACAGAAAGAAATCCTTCAACTGTCAGGTGTGAGATTGCAAAAATGCACAAACCAGTGCAATTCCTTGACAGGATTCCTTTGAACACATAGTAATGTACTATAGAAACACTCCATCAACATCTAAGCTTAGAAACGACAAAAACAAGAAGAAATAGGGTTTAGTAATGCTCTACAGCAAGTTGTAAAAGACCTGATTTAAGGAAGTAGGAGAGATGTGTAGATGAGTTGAAAGACAGATGACGATGAAGAGGGAGCATGAATGTTGACACAAAGCTACAGAGGTGTAACAAACAAAACAACATTACAATTATATTTCAGGGTGTGTGTCTGAACTATGCCATTCACCAAACCTGCTCTGGATATGTAAAGGTTAAAACCCTACAGTACCAGAATGCAACATACCTGACTGACAGTTCTGTGTGTACAAAAGCACAATTTTCTTGCTCTACAGTTTTAATAGTTCACTCTGTCTAATGTCTGTTCTCTTTTTTTTTAGATTGCAGGCTTCATCAACGCCATTGAACCATTCTGTGGTGACACACAGAATCTGACTGCCTTCCGTTTCTACGCCCTCAACCCCATCGTGGATCCCTGGGTTTTCATCATCTGCCGCAAGTCTGTGTTTCGCCACCTTTACTCTCTGCTCAGCTGCCGCTTCAGCAGAGGAGCTGTGAAGACGACATCACACTGCGGTCTGTCTTTACCCCTGGACCATCACATACAGCATAATCCCCCTGACATGAAACTTCCACAGACCAACATATATCCCAATTTACCCCTGTGACCCAACAGGAACCCTCTGCTCTGCAGGGTTCAGTGGAGGCCATGAGGCTTTCATGTCGGATTAAACAGTGGAACAAAGATGTGAAATGAAACATTTGACAAGACTATGACAAAGAAAATATGGAAATCATCTATTTGGGGCAGGTAGAGTTTCACTATGAACTTCTTTTGAAAAAGTGAACACTCACACTGACCAATCACACTGTATCATGTCTTTGAATAATATACTGTAACTTCAGAATATATGCACTTGGATATAGCTTTATTGTTAAATAATTTGCATGAATGTATACAGACTCCTTTTTTCTCTCTACCCTTTCTTTAAAGGATGTTTCTTTAAAGTTAACCTGTGGTTACAAGTTGCATCCTGTTGGAAAAGTGGTACGTCTCTCTTTGCTGATTGTGTAAGTCATGTTTTCTGCTGAAAATATTGTCCTGCTTTATTTCACCCGTCAAATGTATCACTAATTGTCTGCAAAAAAGAGGCAATTTCTGCAGCATTTCACTCGTTTGACACAGGTTTGGCAGGTAAACAGGCATTTAAAATTACAATATAGAAATAATAAATCTTGTTGCTAGTGGCCTCATTTGCTCTTGTAGGTCATGGCGAGCTATCCATTTATAGATCAGACTGTTTCACAACCAGCTTCAAACTTCTCACAGAAGCTTTAAGACACAGAACAGTAGGTCTTTGTAATTGGATCGTCCACTTCTGAGTAGGCTATATAGCAATGTCTACATATAAATGACCAGCTCGTCAATTTCCCTGTCATTGCTGGATCAGTGACTAAAGAATTATAGGTGTAGTTGTGACAGGTGAATGTGGTCTTTAAGAGAGACATAGTTTATCCAAGTTAAGACAAGCAAATAAACAAAATGAAAACTAACGAGAAGCGACTTTCCCCTCCACGATGTTCAGTATTTTAACATGGAGACTGTTTCTATTTCATAAAACATTTGTTTCCAACCCGACTTTGTATTCTCACTGATATCTAAGCTACCTGATAACCTGTGAATCTTTTTTTAATGCTGCAAAATGCACTGTGAGAAATTGTCTTTTGTCATGAGATTAATGCTGTAGCTGCATTGAAATGTAGTGTATTTATGCCTTTTACCCTGTGCAATGATGTTGTATATCCTAACAATTGTGTTGGTTTGGTTCATGCAGTGGAGAGCAGAGATAGAAATGGATAACAGATGTGGTGATTCAAGTTTTTTTTTTCTGTGTGGCACATTCACTTTTTTTTTTTAAGTCTTTAAAGTCTTAGTCATGCATGTCTCGAGGTAAGTCAGACTCGTTATGACTCGCACATATGGTCTTTGAGGGTCTAAATATTTGAATTGATATAAAATTATTCATTTATTTAAGGGAAACAAATGTATTCACTGTACGGTACACAGTTTGTTCATGCAGAATAAAATACCGATATGAGAAAAATATCTGTTGTTCATCTCATGGCTATGTATGTTCCCAAAGAGAAACTATGATTTAATAAATGTTCACAGCGATTTTGTGATGTTTAACAGTCCTACCTATCCAAACACAGCGTTCATTATGTTGTTTCTGACCGCCATGAGACTCAAGCATGTTTGCTGGACGTGTTTAGATTATAAAAAAGAAGCAATGAAAAGATAAAGTGAATATGTTTAAGTTTAGATTTGTCATTTGTTTTGGACTTGTTACAATCCTAACATATGCTTTGAATACAGAGGGAAATGTATACACAACTGTAGTCACCAGGTACTGTCAACTGTAACATTCATAAATGGAAAATGACATGCCAAAAGATGATTTTTCAGAAAAGAGGAAGTGTCAAAGTATACATTTATTCACATTATTGCTTAGTGAGCTTCAAAATTTAGCAGCATCTACCTTCCTTCTAGATTGTTTTCTTCCTCTTAAGTTCAACAATATTGAAGAAATTGTATTTCTCTCAGGGAAATTGTTTTTATTCTAATAAATTCAGAGCAGAGGCACATTGTATTCACGACGGAACGATACAGAATTGGATCCCTTATCGTGTAATTACAAGTTAATGATGTCTTTTCTCGTAATTACAAGATCAGGAAATATCTGGTTATGAGATCCTTATCTCATGAGAACAGCATCAGGGGTCCAAGTTTATTTTCCATGGGTGGATACAAATGAACCCTTTGTTATTTTTATTTTTGATGCTGTAACTTGCAACAATACAAGAGCTTTAGAATCAGCTTGAGGAAATGGTCTTTTACTGTATGTGTGATCAGTTTGTCATTAGAAACAATTGATTTTTATACATACCCAAAAGGCTCAATTTTATTTTGAAAGCCCAGGAGAGTAATGATGGTACTGTAGCACCACTATGTGGTCAATAATGTGCACTTCAACACCTGAATGTGCATCTCAAAGTCACAAGCTCCCCAAAGGTCACCTCTCCTTAGTGACAGCACAGCAGCAGAAAGGATTGAATTAATATGCAGTAAATCAATACAACTGCAAACCTGTATTTACTATCCAGACGGCTGTTGCTCAACAAAAGATTGCCCATGGGGCTCGATGACTAAGAACACAGAGGACTAATTGTAGCTCACATTGTGGTTTGTTGCCTTGGCAGATTAGGTAAGGGATTGCTTTATTGGCTCAGGTAGTTTCACATTAATCAGGCCATATGTTGTAAGGAAATACTAGGAAATAAAAATGAAATAACAATGATGCATATATGCCTGGCAATGGTTGAAAACATGACCTTCATCAACCATATGGTTCAGGGTGTTTCCACAGGATTTAGTTATTATGAGTAAGAATTGCTCAATGTACTAATGACACAGACAGACTCCATTCAGCTTAAGAGTTCACTTCTTTTACTGACATGATGCCACACAAACCATTGCTGTATTTCAGTGATCTCCGAGCACATGCTTTCAGGACCATAAAAGAAAAAGTCAGACATCTGTTATTCTATGAGAGTCTTTCAGGCCTCCACACGGCTGACCACAGAGAGGCTCTACGAGTAGCTTCCAGACTCAAACAGCTTGATGACGATGGCTTCATGAGGTTGCAGTTCAAGCGACTCCAGAGCGGTCGTCCCCAAACGGTCCATTTCTGTGCTGGTCATGAACACTCCAGCTTTGGGCAGCCTCGGGGCCCAGGCTGGATCCAGGGCATGAGGCTCAGACCCGACGTTAAGCAGGACAAGGAAGTGGACACAACCCCATGAGCGCAGGAAGGCCAGGATAGGAGGAGGTGAAGGAGAAGTAGAGTTTGAGATGGAGGAGTTGGTGGTGGAATTGAAGGGGAGGAAAGTGAAGCTGCCGTATAGGAGGGCTTCTTCTCTGGCTCTGGAGTGACTGAGGGAGCTGAAGAGAGCTACAGCTAAACGCTTCTTCTTCTCTTTGTCCTGAGGGAAGGACGGTAGGAAGAAAGACATTTCAATTTGACACACGACTTCATTGGAATGAAAAACAGATAACTTTTGTATTTTAAACTCACTGTATTGCTTTCTGATGGCATGTTTTCTCCAGGTGGAGAGACGACTCTCACCGACACATTCTGTTGAAGACAAACTTTTATTGGGCAAAGTTGAATTTTATTGAGAATGATTGGATTCAAAGTCTGGAGCTGAAAGTCACCTGTCTTTGGTCAAGGTCTTCATCATACTGAACCGCAGGTGACCCGGGCAGTGTCATCATCAGCACCAGGAGTAATTTCTTCAAGTCAGGAGATGCTTTCCCTCCAATCTGCAGAAAGACATGATGAGTTTTATGATAACACCCTCCACGACCCAAGTGCTATAAAACTACACAGCAAATGACTTATGCCATGCAGTTAAAGCTGAAACATTTGGCTGAGAAACGTGTTATGCTAGTTGGTGAATAGTTTATATTTACTTTAATCAAAAACACCAACGTCTTTTGTTTTCTTAAAGGTTATAACACAGTTTACTTCGCTTTATTTGACACATTATAGGTTAGCCAATTGATCCTCTTTGGATCGTTATGGGGCACAACAAGATATTGGAAGGATCCCTTTGGGCACTAGGACACAGTGATGGTCATGTCTCACTTTTCTTCATTTGAGATGGATTATAAATGAATCTCAAGAATGTAGTCGGAAAAAGACTTAGTTTCACGCACTGATCTGATATTAAAGAAGTCTGGAAAGTATAAGGTATGCTTTGCATATTTTAAAATCTCAGTGTATGCCATTAAATGATATAAATAAGGATAGTAAAATGTATCTTTAATTGAAAATGTGTCTTGAAAAGGATTTACCATACCAAACAAAAGGCACATGAACAAAACCGCATTTAAAATGTATTCTGTTTACTGTATTCGCCTCATGCACGTGTCTTACTGTCCAACTGGGCCATGTGTCTTCTTTTCTTTGCAGGTCTTTCTCTATAGCATCAGCAATGTCTTTTGTAGACATGTTGCCATTTGAATGAGGCAGAATTGACCTCATGACCACATCCACCAGTGTAGCGTTGTTTAGAGGAGGCAGAAAGTCTCTGGTCTGTTTTACCACAACAATCCTGAAGAGACACAAGAGAAAGAACAGGCACACTTTAACAAGCTTTGAAACTAGTTTTAAATATACAAAAACCATCCACATCTGCACGTATACAGATACCTTTCCTCCTCCTGTGTGTTGAATTCTGTGAAGACTGCCCTCCACTCTAGCAGGGTCTGAAATGGTAATATTTCATCATGTTGGGAAAACTCTGCTTGCTTAAGAAATATGAAATTCTTCAGTATCGAGTTACCTTCTCTGAATACGCTGCATCTGTATCACAGATGGCGAAGCCTGCCACGCCCTGCTGTAACCAGAACCGGAGTCCCTGCTGTAGAAAAAGTCAAGTTTTTAGGAAATCCAACATTTGTGAGAAAAGTTCAGTATCTTGAAAAGAGTCCAGGTTCTTACATGTACTGTGGCTGACATATTTGAAGGCCTGTCTGCATTCCCTTCTACATCCTGAGGAGCCACGAGATCCACTTCACAAATGTCTAAGACCACTTTGAGACCTGCAGGACCAAGAAAATCCTCATTAAACAAGTCTGCCTGTGCTGGCTGTTTGACTCAAATAATTCCTTTAGTCACCTGCTTTGTTGCTCTCGGTGATCAGATGCTCGATCTGAGGCAAGGTCCCCAATCTTACACCAGCCACTGTGACGTTTAGAGGAGATGCCCCCTTATCAAACAGTCCGTCCAGAATAAGAGCCCCTATACCCAGCGACTTGAGGTAGGGAATCTGCTCACAAAGAGCTGGAGAGAAACAAACAGAGTCTGTATAGTTTCTGATTCATGTCATTATCTATGACATCTATGTTTTAAGCTGTTTTTCTTTTGTGTACATGCCTTTTTTTTTTTTTTTTTTTTTTAAATGTAGGAGATGCTCATACTCGTACAAGGGATTAGAGAAGGGAACTCACAACACAACACGTTATACATGGCCCAGGATAACAATGACATCACAATTGCACTATTCTGAAATAATTGAGATATTCCAAGAGACCAAGACAATTCTAAAATGATTCAGAATGTAAAAGTATAAATAAAGGATAAATGTATTTATTCACTGAAATTTGGAGTCAGTTTCATCTCAGAATTTCTTTTTAGTCCAAAATTATCTTATCTAAAAAAGAAACTCTTTAGGGGCTTGCTGAAATAAAAGGTGTGTATCCCAGTCTCTGGTTCTCACTCAGGCCTTTTTTAAAGTGAAATAAAAGACGAACATGAGCCATAGAGCTGCACGTCCAATAACTAAAATAGTATGTTTACAGGGTCTCAAAGTTGTCAACAAGATGCTTGCAGCTTCTGATCACAAAAGGATGAAATAAATTGATACTCAACCTTTCACCACCAACAGAAAACATGTCGCTTTCCCCTCATGAATAGACACCGTCCTACGTTTGTCAAATTGTAAGTGTGTTTTTTAATTTTAAATACGTCAGGAAATTGCAAAAAATAAATAAATAAAAGAGTATAAACTGTTGAGAGCCTATGTTTTGTTTTACAGGAGCCTGAAGCCCTGTTGTTAGGAGGGTCCCTGTATCAAATTGACTTTAAAGCTAATCTGGGACTACATGGCCATCTAGTGAAAATACATTTTTACAAAGTAGTGTGGGATCCCATAAGTACACACCATGGATTATAAATGTCAGCATTTTCTTTTTACATGTTAATAGTAGGTTTTTGGAAGCATGTTTTGCAGAATCTAAAAACAAACCTAGCCTTTACAGGTTTTTCAAAGATGATGTGGGTCAATATGACCACCAGGGGGCAGATAATCAACTTGAAATTATTAAATCATTTTAAATTACAGAATTCTTGTTGCATATTTTGATATTTGCATATTATAATTATTAGTTGTTGAGCTAAAGACAAACCCCCATTAAAACATAATGTGTTTTGTTATGATATGGATATTTCCTCACCAGTGATGCCCTCTGACCCCTCGGCC